GACGTGCGGCATCCCTTTCGAAATAGTCATATCTCGAACTAAGTCGAAAGATATTTCACGTGTCCGAACAATTACAAGTTGATAAAATGCAGAGACAAAATGTGTTCAAAAAAAACTTGTAAAACAGTCTACTTTTCAGAGAAAATCAGTCTCAAAAATTGTTCTTTCCAAAGTCATAGTGTTGTCAAAAAAAAATCCCTTTCGTACACCCATAGAAGATACTCTAAAGTTAACTGCTTATAGCAATTCAACAGAGTAATAATAATGACGCTTTAATATTATATAGTTAGCTTTAAGAAACTTTCTTTTTTTATATGCATAAATAGTAAAAACAATGTTCTATCTTTCTGTGATATCAGATCATTCTTCAACTAGTATCACAATACGGTTCTCAATAAGAGATGTTTTTTATGACATCTGGGTGTAGGTGCGGATGTTCTTTCCACTCCAACAACGACATCTACTCAGACATCCACGCTCCACACCCACCCATATCATAAAGAATAGCTCTCATTGAAATTTTCTTATTATGATAATAGTTGTAGAATGATCAAATATCACAGAAAGATACAGCATTGTTTTTACTATCTCTGTATATAAAGAAAAGTTTTCCAAAAGCTTACTATACGATATTAAAGTATCATTACCAGTACTTTTAGACTTTCCTAAGTATTTTCTAATGTTTGTCCTTTACATCTGATGAACTTCAGAGGACTTTGAAGCAATCATGAGATGATTCTCAAAATTCTAAAACACAATTACTATTTTTCTATTGGAAAAAGATATCACCTACCGATTCCTAATTTATACAGAATAAACAGATAGTAGCCTTATATATAATCAATTTTTCAGCATAACTGAAAACTTGGATTTTTCTGAAAATTTCTAAATAAAACTTTTTCAGTCTTATATTATTGTTCATGTCTGTATTTCTGCATAGAAATACTTATGGTAACATGATGCATGGTTAATAAAAAGAAATGCAATAGAATCTTACTTAATATCTGCATTTGATTTAAATTTATTAATATCAGCTTCATCCATACGTCGTAATTCGTTTGTTATTTCAATAAAGTTACTAGCAGCAAATTGATCCCAATCTTTTGATTTCAAGAGTCCTTGAATTTCTGAAACTACTTTTGATACAGCTTCATTAGATTTATCAAATGAAGCTGTTGGAACAAATTGAAGTGTTTGTCGAACAGGATTTTTAACTGCACCTATAGAAAAATAAAATATTTATTTTCACTGTTATACATATTTATGTAAAAATCACGATAAACATACTAGCATCAACATTAATAGCACCAGTTGTTTTTAAATCTAATTGTTGACTAATTGATATAAGTTTTGATGAAATCTCTTCATCTTGTTCATCAAAATCAACTTCAGTATCTTCTTCTGAACTATCATCATCATGAACATGATCATGATCATCATCTTTTTTAGTAGATTTTTTACTATCATCTGCATCAACTTCAATTGTTTTACATTTAACAGATTTAACTTTTTTATCACTAATGTCTGTTTGACATACATAATGAGTTTTAGCTGAAAATACTTCTTCAACCTAAGAATTAAACATAAATTTGTAAAAGAACTTTTTCTTCTAATATATCTTCATTAGACTTACGAGTGGACCAAGAAGTGAAGTTAAAACAGGACTTGAACTTAAATGTAATTTATCCTTTGAGCATGTTGATAAATCTTTATTTTTATTAACTCGTGTTCCACCATCCTTTTGTGAATATTTATATCGTGTTGTACATACACCAAGTACATCTTCTTCACGTACCTTTAAAATAAAATGAATTTTATCGTTCGTTTTCTTTTATTTTTTTAGTATTTATTTATCGATATGTTTGAAAAATACTTACAATATTTTCACCATCATTGTATACAGGTGAATAAACTTGAAGTGCACTTAGAATACCTTTTATAAAGTTAACATGATCAACTTTAGCTGATGCATCAGCTTCAACAGCAATAAGAAAACCATCAACCCATCGAAAACGAACAACAATATTTTCAAGTTCTTTTTGAGCAGGTGATGTTACAGGTTTTTCACTTTCATCCTTTGTTTCACTTATTTGAACATTTCGAAGCTATGAAAATATTATATTTAAGAAATAGAATGAAATTTTTACAAAAAATTTTCTTTTTCTTCATACCTGAAGTGCATAATTACAATCACTTAAACTTTTGATGTGTACATCAGCTGTAATCTTATTTTTTAAATCAAATTGACCATTGACAACAGATAATTTCACTTCAGTTTTATATGTGTAAACTAATGAACCTTGACCGGGCGCAATCAGTTGAGCTATAAATAGAAAAGAAAAGAAAGTCTTGTTATATGAATTCGTCAAGACACATACCAGACGAACATATCGGATCAGGATTATTAGTAGATAATGGTGCAGCTGAAGCTTGATAAACTGAAATGAAATAAAAATCAAAGAAAAAAAATTATAGATTATTATTTGAAATGAAATATAATCTTACCGAGCAACAACACTAAACCATAATAGAGGTTTAAAGACGCTGCCATTTAACAGATCTTTGTCTCTTGTATCACTTTTCGTTAATACCGATGTGTGTGTCTTATATTTATGCTAGGATAGTTAAAAAGAGGCAGTTGCTGATCAGAACTGACGTTTATATATGCGATCGTTTTGTTTATTTTTCTCTTCTCGCCGTCCAATACAGTAACAGATAAGGATTGCAGCAGTTGCGTACTGATGATAGTAGTCTAGTAATAAGAAGAAAAAAAAAGAGAAAAGAGAGAAATGTAAATCTAAAGTGTCTCTCTATCATTCCCTTGATATACACACAAACGACAGCTATATGTTATCTATCAATAAATCGACATGCACAGACGATTTACATTAGAGAATAATCGCTAATGTTGTTTTCGTGACATACTTAATAGCTGGTCAAATATATCTTATTAAGTTTAGCTGGTATAACTATATGAACATTGCAGTGAAATTTAATCTACCTAGAATAGTCCGAACATTTATTGACTACGTAATCAATGATAGGCTTGGCGGCACTAGTGTTCGGTATATTTATTTAGTATGATAGAGAATAAGAGAAATGACATGAATATCTATTTATCAACAAAGCGAACTACTTGAACAGCATACAAGTTAACTGCTTATCTCAATGAATATTTTTTTTTTCGATATCTTAAGTATTGGCTGAGAGTGGACAACAGTTGTATTCTTGTTTCGTCAGTTTTATTATATACACATATACTGATATCGATTTTGTACACAATGATTAATTGTATGTGCAAACAAATGGACAAGTTTATTGTTTTCTTTTTTAACGATAAAATGAAAAGAAAAAAAAAGAATTAAAAGACAAATTATTTTATCATCAAGAATTTTATGTTTCGATAGTTTTTCAGAACAAATTTTCAGGAACAGTTGTTTCTTGTTCTTCTTCTACTTTTCAATCAAAGTTATAAACATTTGTTTCCATAAAAATGTCAAATGTACTTTGGAATAATATTGTCTACAAAAATAGGATGTCATTGACCTTTAGACTATCACATAAGGTCGTATAATCTAGATAATGAATTTTTTTAACCCTTGTACATTACATCTATCTTATTTTTCTTATCTTTTCAGGACATTCTCCTTCATCCAGTCTTATCATTAGTTAGTAAATATGATGCGATGAATGATTTCCATACTTCAAGGTTTAATCTATATTTTCTTCTAAAAAAAGGTCTTCTAATTTCATTATTATACATGAAGATAAATAGACAATTCAGTATCGATGAGAGATTCGTTAGTATTAGACTGAATATAAACGACAAGAATATTCAAACAAGTCGTTAAGTGATGATTTATCTTGTATGATTTAAACATCGAATGATAGTTATTAATAAGCTTATCGTTTTTTTAAAAACATAGCAAGTAAACAATTATTTATGCTAATCTTATGTAATCGAAAATGTTGAGACACATTTTGCATTATGATTATCACAAGTTGTTATCTTTTATGCTCAATTATACTTTTAAAATACAAATATATTATTCCTTGGTGAGTTGAATAGAATGATTTGTATATTTGGTAAAGTTATCTATTGTTATCTCATTTATGTATATTTTCTTTCTTATCGGCAAAAAAAAAGTGTTCATTTTGTTAAGCTTCTTGAATAAAGAAAAAGAAAAAGGTATTGAGAACACTTTTCTATGTAGAATACAATCGGATAAGTTATGTATTATCGAATATACATTTGCTTATCTTCTTGTTCTCATAGAAGTAATCTACAGCACGTATGCTAATGGTTTGTTTGAGAAGATTTTTTTTTCTTTAGAAATATTTGCTAATATTACATGTAGTCTCGGCTTTAATCACACATCAATGACAAACATTAAGAGAATTTTCTCAATCATCATTGATTTATTTCTAAACATTACTTCTTTTTTTGTATTATATGTGACTTGCCCATAATTATATGTCTATATCTCTTTTGAAAAGGTGACCATTTTCTCTCAAGATATATCTATCACTTTCGATAGCCATTAGTTTTTTTCTTCTTTATGTGATAAATATCAGATAAGCTCGCTCATGATCCATTTATTTTATTCAACTGTTGAATAGATTTAATCATTTTCGTTATCTTTTTATTGTGAAAAAGAAAGTGCAAGCAAAGAGTTGTTCTCGTTTACATTGATATCAAAGAAATGGTTTTCATGGCTTATAAACATAAAATTTTTTTTTTTTTTTAGAAAGAAATAATACAAAAAAAAGAAAAGAAATACCACAGTATAGAAAAGACGATTATATAGATGGAGTGCTGAATTTTTATAATGTTCACAGGTACACAGACAATATACGAAAACGAAACGACACTAGACAAGAAAAAAACTAAGTTCAACGTGTACGAAAAAAAAACGTGAATGACATATAAATGTACAAATTTGAGGAATCTTTTTCTTTCTTTCTATACAAAAAGAAGAGAAAAGAAAACGTGCTTCATTTTATGAATCGACAACGTCTTGATTTTCATTTGTTTTATCTTCATCATTAGGTATAGCATCATTGTCAACAGCAATATGGTTTTCACTGTGTATTGAATGATGAACAATTATATATTCATGTCCATTTGAATTAAGTTCACTTGATGATGTTATTTCATTTTGATTCAAATTAATTTCTTGACGTGATACAGCTGTTTCTAATTCACTATCTTTATTTTCTTCTTGATCAGAATCATTATCTTCTTCATCACTACCAATTCTATTTAAATTTAAAAAAACATAATGCAAAACAAATTTCCTATTCGCACAGTTGCAACCATAGTCAAAATGATCTTGTGAAAGTCGCGACAAGACTGAACATGAATTCTATTTTGAAAAGTCTGTGTTTGAAATAATACCTGTATTACTAATGTCGAGTGTTCGTTTGCTCTCGAGTCAAAGGTCAGAGGTCAAAACATAAGAGTTAAAGATTAAATGGAGAAATGTAGTCGTATAGTTGACACAAGAACTCACTAGTTTAAGTATATTTAAGAAGTTCGTTGTCTCATATTAGAGATCATTCTCAGGCATCTAAAGTTTAGAAAAAAAAACTTACCACTCGTTGATTAATATCCAACATACTGAGTAAGTCAGAATAGATGAAAATTTAGCGAATGATGATTTCGTGATAAACATATTGGCTATAGGTCCAAGGAAAGTCGAAATTCAGGTGAAGGAAATTCCAGTCTGAGATTCGGCATGGTATGAGAACAAAAAGCGGCCGTGACTTTTTCGCTTCCGGTCGATATTCACACAATCTTAAGTCGGTGACCACTGTCTGAACAGTAAGTCGAGATAAAAAAGCCTAATATACCTCAACTGAAAGTTGTTTAAGTTTGAAAATTTTGTACTTTATCATAATCATCGGTCATATGAAATAACAATGAATTCTCGATTCTTACTAAAGTATCAACAATCGTTTATAATCTCTTATGGGTGAACAAGAAAACGAAGACAAAAATTCGGCTGCTAATTTTTTATGTGATTTGATCAAACTGAATTTAACCTATTGGTACAATTCAGAATTCTTGCATTACATCATAATTAGGATACTTAATTTTATTGAGTATTAATTATCTTTAAAAAAGTTTTTAATATACTTGACTAGAAAGAATACAATTGAATATAAATAATCACGGCCATTATTTCAAACATATAAAATCATGATTAATACAAAAAAAAAATTCGAAATAAATTTCATACGGACACTCATGTTTACTTTGATATTTACTTATACAAGATGTTTTACAAATAGATGTCAGGGTAACTATCGTTATCTTTTACAGTTCAAACAAAGGTAACCATAGGTGTCCGTATGATATTCATTTCGAATTCTATCTTTTTTTTTTGTAGTCTTGACGATGTTCAGGGTTTTTACAGGTATCGTATGACTTTTAATATTTTCTATATATTTTTTTAGAAATTCTCTCATACATACAGTGTTAATGGTCGATTTTCTGATTCAGCTAATTCAATATGATATTTATTATCATTTTCTATATCGTCAACAGATGATGTTTGTTGTGCATATTGTCGAACTGATGACTCATACTAGAATAAAAATTTTCTATTAAAATATATAAAATATTAATTTAATTAATATTTTTACTAAATTTGAATAATCATCTTGTTGTTTACTTAATGGTTGTGTCATTTGTTCATTAATATTTGTTGTTTGAACATTATTTGTATTTTGATAGATTTTATATTTAATTAATTCATCAAAAGCAACATCAGATATATCACGCATAAGATCATTAGCACATTCACGAATACTTTTAAATAATAAAACAAAAAGAAATGTTTTTTTTTTTTATTTTAGAGATTATTTTTTAATTTGATTTATCTTACATTGTTCCACAATATTTTTCAATTGCTTTTTCAAGTAATTCAGAAAATTGATTTTGAAAATGACGAACTAATTGAGCAGTATCAGGTTGCTGTTTAAATGAAAATATAATACGATCACGAATATGATTAAGAATCGATTGATTACATATATCATTAACATGTAATCTCATAAATCTAGTTTCAAAGACATAAAAAAAAAAAAGAAATTTTCTTTTTTTTTTTAAATCTTTTTTAATAACATACGGAATTAATTGACCCATTACTGTTTTAATTTGATCATGAAATTTTTGTATATCAATATTATCAAAATTCTAAAAATAAAATATTTATCTTTAAAAAAGAAAAAGTCTTTTATTTAAAATACATGAGTTGTTGTTGTATAATATGTTGATGGTTCAATATTAAATATAGTTGTTGAAATATTATTTGGTTGTTGTTCATTTTCACTATCATCATCATCATTAAATGTATTTTGTTGTAATTGTTGATTATAATTAAATAATTGAGATTTAATAAGACTATTTTCATTATCATTTGATATTGGTCGTCGACGAATAATAAATGATTTAGAAAGATTTTCTTTTGTTGAATTACGATGATGATTCGATGATATTTCATATTCATTTGATAATGGTTTTGTACGTAAATGAATTGGTTTTGGTGATGATAAACGTTTACCAGAAAATACTATTGAAAAAAAAAAAAAACGTTTTTCTTTACTAGATGAATACATTGAAAAAGAGAAGACTGTGTGAATACATTTGATATAAGGAGTACTGTAGAAAAAGAATGATATTGTACAGAGTAAACAAACTGTCGTATAGCTCATGTACAATCATAATTAAATATATATCCATGAAAAATCTCGAAAGACATGTTATAAATAATTGAATTAAAGTTTCAGTTTTAACATACAATCCTAGACAAAAGAGCTTATTTATCCTAATGTGATACTATTCTTTATAACAATGAACATGGTATTTTGGATACATGTGTAATTCCGATTGCAAACTCCAAGAAGTTCTTCATCAGTTCACTGATATTGATGCTATGATTCAAACATATTAAGTGATGACATGTACTTAAAAAGCATCAGATTATTTCTGTGCTCCTCTGCAAGCAATTACTGTTTTTTTTAGCGCCAAGGACAGTCTCATATGTATACTATCTTATAATTAAATCCCAAGGTACATTGTCAAGATGTAAGTAGTTAGCATATTCGGTGACAATCAACACATATCGTATCACTAACTCGATTTCAGTTATTGATACGACTGGGAAACATTCAGTATAAACTCATGGTCTAATGGAAGCCTTCAAATCAATTGACTAATGTTATAGTAAAAAACAATCAATCTTACTAAAAATAAGCGTTTGCTCTTAAATAGACGTTCCAAATCAGAAAAATATATCTCAACCATTTTCGAGTGTGAAGTCATACAAAAATATTTGCATCAACATATCTGTGGTACGGTAATCACTAGATATTGTTTTAATATCAAGCTTAGTATCGTATGCATGTACTGAACAGTACCATATTAGGATATGACGATAGAAGTAGCATTTATTTTCGCGCATCTCTGAGACGAACTGCAATCTAGAGTGAATATTTGTACTGAAAAGCTTTCATGGAACGTTAATGTTAAATTTAAGTTTAGCTTTAAAAAAAAATAACTTTTTACATAATAAATGTGTAAGGATTATTCCTAAACTAATGTACATATACGTATAGCTATAGTTGATATTCTCTTTTCTCTTTCTGTTCTTCTTCAAACTCGTCAATATATCGATTCATCTTCTTTTCTCCGTTGATGATAAGGACATTTTTCATCTACATCTTCTAACAAAGAAAGAGATCATTCTAGATTTTTCTTTTTCTTCTTGTTATATGAATTCTCTATTCTACTTGATAAACTATTCATTCATTTGGTTTAAAAAGTACATCTTATCTAACTTAACCATAGGTGTCCGTTTCTACAAAAAAGATATTGTCCAGTTGTAAACAAAAAGCGCCACATAGAATGGATACGCGTGTAATATTCCTTTCGAATTCTATAATTTTTTTTATAAATTTGGTAGTATCCTCAATTGTTATTGGTACGCTTAAGGTATTAATTATTAGAGATTAGAGAATCAATCGAACTTATTATAATTTGATAAGATTTATTTTTAAAATTATTTTTGCAGAAAAAAATCTGAAAAAATACAGAAAGCCTTTGAAAGTTTGTATTTCACTGTTGTACTAGTACTGCATAGAATTCAAATTACACTACAACTACTTAGGGCATACCAAAAGTTCTGACCACGGCGTTTAAAGGATCTTTTCGGATATGAAGACCTATTGAGAAATGAAAAACTAAATATACCATGTTGTAGAGCTTTTTGAGGCGCATCGAATGGTATATATTAAATCTGATTTTCATAGGACTTTAAAGGATCTAGAGTCAATTTACTGATAGACGACTACACACCCACACCCTCTAACAGTAAATTGACTCTAGTTCCTTCAAAGTCCTATGAAAACACGATTTACTATATACCATTCGACGTATTTTAAAATGCTCTACAACATGGTATATATATTTAGTTTTTCATTTCTCAATAAGTCCCCTTATCCAAAAAGATCTTTTAAACACCGTAGCCAGAGCTTTGGGTACTCCCTAAGTATATTTTTCATAGAAAAATCTGTATTGAATCTATTCTTCATTACACAATAGAATCAAATGTTTTTATATGGAATTCTTTAGAGTCGATCATCTGCTTCGAACCATTTTTTTGCAATACAGTACACTTCTATTAATTGTTCTAACAGTCTTGAGTTTACTAAGAATTTTAGTTTGTTTATGAATTATATTACAAATTTCAAGAAATTTTGTTAAAAATCTTTTTTTTTTATAAATACCATTTCTTTCATGTTTAACAGGTGTTCTTTCCATATTGTTTTCTGTTAGATGAATAGCTGTTTGTTGTCCTGTACTTTGACTATTAAATGATGTTTTACTTGAATTTTCAAATTTATTGTTTGTTAAATTACGATTGTCTTGTTGAATATGTTCATCAAATCTTGAACGTACTTTTGAACGTATAGGTTTAATTTGATCTAAACTATAAATTGAATCTTTTGAATTATCTCTTGAATATAAATGTGATTTATAATTAAAATGACTATCATGTGATGATAATGATGATGATAAACGATTATTTTCTGATTGTAATGCATTTATTTCAGATTGTAATATAGCTATTTCACGATAAGCTGTATTTAAATTAACAATAAGACCTTGTGTAAGAACTTGTTGTTGAAGTTGATTAAATACAGGATCGTTTGTATTTGATACTGATGAAGTATTTGATGAAGTATTTGTTACAGCTTTTAAATGTTCTTCAATATGTTGATTAAAAGATTTTTGTTCTTGAATAAATGTTGATAAACAACGACATATTTCACGCATTTGCATACTTAATTCATCAGTTGATTCAGGTTTTGTATTTAATAAATTTTGTTCATGTTCAGCAACAATATCTTCAGGTGCATGAAAATTCTTAAAATAATATATAGTGAAAATTTTTTATAAATCAAAAGTAAAACTCTACATGATAGAGAGGTTCTACAGGATAAGGATTAGAAAATTTTTCTTAATCACGGTACAGGCGGGGAAAAGGGGGTGTAGAAGAGCCTAGGAAGGGGCAAAGGTTTTTTTAACATAGAAAAGTGCCCAAAATAGGAAGCTGCATAGTTAAATTTGTAAAGCAGGTGGAGACATAACGCCCGCCGCCCCCCCCCCCCCCTCCCCCCCTTCCTTTGGCGCAACTATAGAAGGACATAGTCTACAATTTTTTTT